AGAGCGAGAGACCTTGTGTGTGTGTGTGTGTGTGTGTGTGTGTGTGTGTGTGTGTGTGTGTGTGTGTGTGTGTGTGTGTGTGTGTGTGTGTGTGTGTGTGTGTGTGTGTGTGTGTGTGTGTGTGTGTGTGCGCGTGTGTGTGCGTGTGTGCCTAATGAAGTTAGGCACCGAAATCAGGCACCGAAATTTTCGCTCTTATTCGGTCTGGTTACTACCGTTTACGTCGGAACCGGTTCCCTATTGGCACCGAGTTTCGGTACCCAACCCTACTCAATAGGGAACGAAACGCTGCCAAGCTCCTCGTGCTGCCGACCAGCTTCCTTTTTCGGCAGAGAAATCTGAGGAGCAGATGGCACGTGCGTGCCAACATAATATGACGACGTAAGTGCGGCGCCCGCGCCATTAGCCAATGTATTGGCTTGATTCTATATGGGATTCAGATAGGGGTGGAACGGTACACAGAAGTCACGGTTCGGTTCATACCTCGGTTCAGACATCACGGTTCGGTACAATGGAGGGAAAAGCAAAACAAAAATGCAGAAGGCATTGTATTTTTTAAATAAGTTTTTTAATAAAGGCATAGAACCAGTTTATTTGTAGTGCACTGACAATAGTTTTATATAATTAGTTTATTAATTAAATTAATAAAAAGACAAAAAGACCTTGCGATATGTTTGGTAATTGTACCTGAATTAATTTAAAATTATTTTGCTATATCTCAGATCAAAATATTTGTTTTTCCTTAATTTTAATTAACATTATTAATTGACAATGTAACATTATTCTCTTCTGAATTATAAATAATTGATTTCTGTATAAAATAATACTACCATTAAAACACATTCAATTTTCTTTTTTTAATCAATGTAGAATGTGTAAGATTAGTGCTCCGAGGACGAGAAATGGAAACCAATGCAATATGACGAATGTCCAAAAGATGGAACACACCGACTGTTTTGAAATGGAGTTGGATAAATATGTTTTGCTTTTAAAACAGTGTGTGTGTGTGTGTGTGATTTTGGTTGGGTGACAGTTGTAGGTTACAGTTTGACAAGAGTTTACAGTGTCACAAAAGCACAATGTTGTGTTTTATTGCGAGTGTTCACAAATATAAGTAAACACTTTGCAGGTTTAATGATCTGAACAAAATGACGGAGTATGTTTTTTATGTTTCCACTGTTCGATTGCGCCTCTCTCTCTCTCTCTCTCTCTCTCTCTCTCTCTCTCTCTCTCTCTCTCTCTCTCTCTCTCTCTCTCTCTCTCTCTCTCTCTCTCTCTCTCTCTCTCTCTCTCTCTCTCTCTCTCTCTCTCTCTCTCTCTCTCTCTCTCTCTCTCTCTCTCTCTCTCTCTCTCTCTCTCTCTCTCACACACACACACACAGTTCGATCGCGCCCGCGCGCCCCCCTCTCTCTCTCTCTCTCTCTCTCACACACACACACACACTCCAGCATTGCAATCTTGACATCGCAGCCTGTTCATTATGCGGTCACACCAAACACGAATAGAGCGTCAAATTCGCGTCTAGTTCGACGCTAGTCCAAAGCGAATAGAACGCGCGTATAAAGCCAACATTTGAAGTGAACGCGCGTTCAGAGCATAGGGGGTTCAGAGCTAAGCCGATGGTACAGATTATGTGTCCCTAAAGAACCCGCGTATCTAACAGTAGTTCCGCATTACATTAATTAATTTGCACGCGAGTTTTATTTATTTTTATACCGTGTATTCTCCGTGTAAATTCGTGCACCGAACCGTGATGCCCGTACCGTTTCGGTTCGATACGAATACATGTACCGTTCCACCCCTAGATTCAGACTATCGGCACACACAGAGGGCGTTCTGACGCGTAATTTTACACATGAAATGCAGCCAAACCTTGCGAGCAAGAGCGTGCATGCGAGACAGAAGAGACTGTGCGTGTGTGCCTAATTAAGTCAGGCACCGAAATCAGGCACCTAAATTGTCGTTCTTATTCGGTCTGGTTACTACCGTTTACGTCGGAACCGGTTCCCTTTTGGCACCGAGTTTCGGTACCCAACCCTACTCATTTGTCATGAATCCAAATGTTTCCATGGCTGCGATGTAACATTTAATTGCTAACCTATTATTTATTTTGTTTTCAAAACTTTGTGCTTCACTCATGTCATAATATTTATGTAAAGCAGCATTCACATACAAAAAAAGTGTTTTGGCATACCACCGCCGGTGCTACTCAGCCACCGCGGTGGTGCGGTTGTCAAGTTTGCCAGCACACCCCTAGTGAATGTTGCTGATCTGTGGACTTAAAGCCTATAACTGGTTCATTCATGGCATCAATGTTTCTCCTAGTTTCCACGTCAGCGCTGTTTGATTCGTTAATAACAGAGAAATTTGAATGCTTCTCACTAGATCTCGCAGCGATTTTATTACTTCAGTGGCGAATTCAAATGCTTTCTTTTCTGGATCTCTTAGCGCTGTGTAGTAACAGTGTCGCCTGATCAAGGTCGGCACGCGTTGCACTGACATTGGTCCAGACTGATAAACGGTCCGTGAAGCGCAAAATAATGAGTATCGCAGTTTCGTTCAGCTTTCATTACGTTTGCCATTTGATGTTGGGCAACTGCAATTTTGGTCGCACCGGCAGGAAAAATGGTCCAACGAATCGTTAGGTTTGTAATGCATAGTGAACCGAAAGCCTTGTACCGAACGGTTCAATACGAATACGTGTATTACACCCCTAAGACAAAACAAAACTCTAAAACTGTAAGAGATATTGGGATGTCAATGCGGTGACACAGCCGAACACGAGAGCAACTCAACATGGCTGTTTAGATCTTATTGGTTGTTTGCTTGTCAATGGTAGCATGCGATAATTAAATGTTAAACAATACAAATTGAATCTCTCTTTATTTACCACTGTTTTTGCTGCTTAACTTCAATGATCAAATTTAACCATATAAACAAATGACTTTAGTTGAAACGACACGTCTGTTTCATATTTGTATTGCTAAAATGAGTGTTGTACTTGCTTCTCCTGCACCCTGTTCTTATAGAAATTATGTTGCTTTCACTATTTTGAAAGAAATTGTTTACTTTTTCAGGGGAATACATGAAGTGTTTAAGAAACCTTGGTTTTGATTGTTAACTTAGTGTTAATATTTTATTTGTTATATGAATAGCAATGGAACAGTTTGGACCCATTTTGTAATGTGCCAAGTTAAAAGTTTCTCTGTATAATTTACAGTATTATCTGAGAGAGTGTCTTTCGTAAGTGAAATGAATATTATAACTGAAATGTACTCAAATTAATCTTAATTGATTCACAACAATTTGGGAAATCTATATCCATACCAATCCCCAACACAAATACCACAGTGGTTGTAGATATGGCTCATTTAGGTCATGTAGGTGTTGATTTAGTAACTGCTCTTGGGTGTTTCCCAATACAATCTTAAAGAGCAACGTGCAGGTTGGACACCCCTATATAGCATAGTGTATGTTGATGATAAAACAACTAGATTTCCTGAACTGGAGTAATATATTTAGCCATTAACGATATTTTGAGAGAAATTGTGATAAAATAACTTCTGCGTCTATAAAGCACTAACCGGAAGTGACGATGGGCGAGGGAGTCTGGTCAAGTTCAAGCTCAGGTTACAGAATGGATGTGAATGAAGAAACCGAGTTCTCCGATGTAGACGAGCATGCCTATAGCCCACAGGTAGGGATGGGGCCGAATCGATCCAGTATCGGGACCGGGACCGATACCAGCGTAATTCATGTATCGGATTTTCCCGATCCAACCTGCGGAGATATCCTGCTGAAATGACTCCAAAAGTGATTCCCGTCGGCTAGTCTGCTAGCTGGCTGCAAACTGTGGAATGGATTTCCTGAACGGAGGCGCGACTCAATGAGACACAGAGACCCCCCTCAGAAAATCCATTCTGCAGTTTGCAGCCAGCAAGCAGGATAGCATTGAGCTGCCAACATGTTCGCTGTGTGTAAATACACTGGAAACACCGCAGAGCAAGACAGCAAAATGCAATGTTTGCAAAGCTGTATTAATTAAACCATCTGTCTGTGATGCAAAAAATCTCCAGGTCTATAATTCTCCGGAGTGAAATGTGCGCTACAAAAGACCGAGTGTGTGGTGACAGACTGCAGTGAAGTCTGCTCTCTTCACCAAAACGCACCCAAGAACGAAAAGCCTTGTTTTTCCTAGAAGGAAAATGATGGACACGATGTCCTGACAGACTGGAATTCGTGCAACCAGCACAAACACAATAATTTACCATTATGGCATCTCTAAAGCTCGATCTAAAACTTTCTCTGTCTCTCACTACCGCTCTAACTACAGCTGAACGCGAGCTCTTATTTGCCTCGGCCTACGTCATATGACGCGTTGCTAGCGGGAACGGCGTATTTCAGAGCCTAGCACATTTTCATCAATTTCTACATCAAATGAGATTTCATTAGTAATTTCTACATATGTGTTTTTAAAAGACCTCTTCAGACAATATCAAGTATTAATTCAGTTATAAATTCAACTTGCACGTTGCTCTTTAAGCCTCGATGGATTATTTAAGTTTGATTTTTTTTTTTTTTTACATTTTCACTATTACAATTTCTTAAAGAAACATCACTTGCCACTAAATTTATTTGTCTTACTTTCCTCTCTTTTCTTTTTTTCCAGATGGCAATATCTGAATTGCGGGCCAGCACCTGAAACAAGGCAGGCCATATCTAATGAGGTTTACATCATTGCATTATGCTCAAAGACCACATTTTCCTACAGAATTTTGGAATTGATGATGATTGATATGACAATCAAAGACTTTTAAGGATAGATTTTTAATCCTTTATGCAATTTTCTGTTTTAATGAAGTTGGCAGAGTTGCCATTTTAGAGATGCTGTGAAGTTTTTTTTATTGATTGTTTTTTATTTTTTTGAGATTGGATGTTTAACATTTTATTTCCTGGAAAATATTTCCAATAGTCCAAGTTATATATATATATATATATATGAATATATTTTTTTAAACATCCAGCATAATCATGTTCCCAGTTTCCTAAACCATTGAAATTTATTAGTCAAAAGAATCTACATTTGGCTTTGTCAGGATGGCGTACTCAATGGACTTAGGTGGAGGAGATGCCTTCATCTGCACAGAGTGTGGCGAAGGGTTTAGTCAGTACCCTAAACTAGTTGAACACATGGCCATTCATGGAATTAATGGCTTATTTTCCTCTGATGGTTTAAGCATAAGTAATGGTAGTTGTATCAACGCATCCATTGAGGTTGCTCTCCATGAAAACGGAATGCTTACTGTGGTTGATCGATCTGTGTTATCTAACTTTACTTTCTTGTTTGGAAAACCTTCAACCAAGTCATTATGGTGCCAACCCCCTAATCAAGAAGCCTTGACTTCATCCAAGATGCCAGGGAAGCAGTATGCTCAGTTTAAATGTGAAAGATGTGGACAAGTGTTTAAAACCCTAAAAAGCTTACAACTGCATCAGCAGTACCGTGCCCTTGAGCAGGGGCTCAAATGCACCCTGTGCTGCAAGGTGTTTAATGACAGGGAGAGTCTGCAGAGCCATCTTCAAAACCATGCTCATGAACGCTTTTACAGCTGTGGACACTGTGGAAAGCGATTCTTAAGACAAGAGACCTTACTGTCACACCAAAAACAGTGGCATGGATCTATTGGTTCCAAGACTAGTAGATCCGAGGAAGATCAAGAAAATAGCATGGACAGGTCTTACCCGTGCAAAATCTGTGGCTTACGCTTCTTTTGGTTGTCTGACTTGCAAAGCCACCTAAACAGTCATTCTCGTGTCAACAAGCCAACCACTGAGGCAATGCAAAAACAGGAATCATTTGGGGAAGAAGAAAGTAAGAAAAATGGCAGTGATTCAGTTAATGAGCCATGTCGTTGTGGCCTGTGTGGAGAACATTTTAACCAAATTTCAGATTTAAGAGAACATCATAAAACACAGCATCCAGATGAGGTTGAGGTAAAGGACTCTTCAGATTTACCAGCTAAAACGAAACAGCAGTACCATGGTGTAATGCAACAAATGTTTGCAAAACAGCAAAAGCAGCCACTAAGACCAAGCTTGAGAGGAAGACATAGAGGAATGAGCAGAGCCAATTTTAGTGGTAAAATATTCTCCTGTAAACTTTGCCATCGTGTGTTTGTGCACTCAAGCAGTCTCTCTCGTCATATGCGGTACCATAAGGGTACTCTGCATGCCTGTGTTTATTGTGGAAGACACTTTCCACAAAGATGTGATGTCACAAGGCATGTAGCCATGTACCACAGTTCAGCGCTTCAACCTAAGCCTCCTGGGGAGTCAAAGACAGAACATGAGGTTAAAAGCGGTGAACAGGAACCTGCAAAAGCATCAACACAAACAAAAAGTGATAGTGAACAAGAGGATCTTGAAGAAGAAAATCAGCCCGAGTCTAAGGCAGATGACCGATTATTTGGTTCTCGATATACGAGAACTTATACACCAAGGATGAAGTACAAATGCAAAGAATGTTGTAGAGTCTTTGGGCTACTTAGTGTTTATAAGCGGCATGTGTATTTCCACAAGCGAAGTCCCTGTAAGGTATTGCTCAGTTGCCCTCTCTGTCCAAGCCGCTTTACATTCCTCTCTGCATTACATAGCCATCTTGAGAATCATCATAAAGGAGACTCTGAGATTGATGGCACAAAAGCTCCAGAGACCAATGTAGTTGATTCCGAAAATCAACAGGAAGATGCTGATGCTGAAAAGGCTGATAAAAATGCTGATAATGTTATGTCATTGGAAATAATGAATGAGTCTTCTGAATGTTCTCAGACTTAGAGATGCACAAAAATGGTCAAAAGTATATGGACACCCTCTTCTAATTAACAGGTTTGGCTATTCCAGTAACATCAGTGAAGACGCATCTTAATTCTCAACTATAAAGTGTTATTCTATAGTAGAGTGTTGTGTGCTTTCAGTTTTGTTTCAATAGCTAGGACTCTTTTCTATTCAAGCAGGGCACTGACTCCGCACAAAGCGATGGTCTACTGATTCAGGTGTTGAAGAATGTGAATGACATGCACAAATCTCAGCCCTAACCACGAACACCTTTGGAATGGGTTGAGAACTGTTTTGTTTAATGTCATTGCCTGACCTCCTTGATGCTCTTGTTTCTGGAGCAAGGCTCTTCAGCAATGTTCCTTCCCAAAAGAGTGTGGAGGCTGATACAGAACCAAAAGCAGAGATTGTTTTTTTATTTTTCATGCTTTTGAAATTAAATGTATGAGCATCAGAGGTAAGGGACTGATGCTGGAAGGCATTACGGTCTTCATGCAAGCCGGCACTGTACTTGAAAAGAAAAGGGCCTCACATATGGCGCTTTTCCACTGCATGGTACGGCTCAGTATGGTTCGGCTCGCTTCGCTTTTCCACTGCGTGGTATGATCGGCACGGCTCGGTTCGCTTTAGCTCAGTTTGATTTTCCACTGCAGTTAGTACCGCTTCAAAGTGGGTGGGATTATAGACTGATCGTTATGGTTTATCCGCTCCTCGGCAACCAACGAGAGGAACATCTGCACTTCGTCCACGATTCAGCCATTTCTTTTTTGGAAGTTTTTTTTTTCTTTCTTTTTTTCTTCAAGCAAGTAGTTTTAAAACAGGTTCTACAGCGGTGGCTGTTACTGGGTTTTTTAATCTAGCGGGTTTGATGTCTCGCAAATACAATGACGCTGGTAGTGGCGATTCTGTCTGACCAATCAGTGATCTGCAGTGTTTTCAAGTCACATTTTAGTATCGGTACGGTACGCTTGGAACATCAACAGAGGTGGTACCATTTAAAGCGAGCCGAAGCAAGCGTACCATACTATGCAGTGGAAAAGCGCCACAAAGTGAGCCGTACCGAGCCAAGCCATACCGTACCAGGCAGTGGAAAAGCGCCAAAGCGTGCCGTACCATGCAGTGGAAAAGCACCAATAGTTGCAACAAAGTTGGAAGCACAGAATTCTGTAGAAAATCATTGAATAGTATGGTATTGAGATTCTGATATTAAGACACTGGAATACCTGGAGAAATGCCAAACCTGTTCATTAAAAGAGTGTCAATAATGAAGATATAATGTCAGCAATGTCAGAATGCTCATATTTAAATAGTAATTAACACACTTTTTTGTCTTCATGTGTTGTACTTTTATAGCGTTAGAAGCATTCTATAGACCTCTCAGATGTACTGAATGAATACTGTTTTCTTGTATGTTGCATTTGTTGTTTATAAAAATTTGGTTTTTGGATGTGCTCTTCGAATTATTTTTCAAAATGGGCATTGACGCTATGGGCATGCATGAACCAAAGTGACCTGTATAAGAACCCATGGTGTCTGAATTTGAAAAATACTTTGAACATTTAGAGCAAAGCAGAAGTTTTTAAATCTGGAATTACTCATGTCATTCGAACAGTCTTTCCTAATAGTTGATTTAAGAGCACACTTCTGGTACAGTTAGGGAAATATTTTAGCTATACTTTTTATAACTAATAGTCTAGATTTTAATACCCATAACCCCCCACACCACACACACACACTGAAGTCAAAGGCTGTTTCTCAATTCCAAGAACGCAAAGAACGGACTTGCGTTCTCGTGGAGAGACTTGCCAGGCGACCTTGAAAGAACAAACTCTGAAGGACGCAAGGACACATAACGCATATTTGTGAGAATTGAGATGTGCTGTGATCTTGTTGCTCAACTGACTGTCCCAGAATATAATAAGTAGCAGCAAATGCACAAAAATACAACATATCACAGAAGAGTGTCATAACCTACATTTACATGAAAACATTTATAGAAATAGACATTTTCCCGTGTGTATTTGTGAAAATGAATATGTATGTTTAATTTTACCAATCCTTTGTCAATGTTAAGATATTTTTTAATATGCCAATAAAAAAACTGCCGGCTTTCTTCAGGTCTTTATCACATTATTAAAATTAAGAAAAAGAAACTTTCACGAGCTGTCACGTATTTGTGAGCTTGCTGTGGGAATCTCTTAAGTGAGAACAAGAAGTTTAAAGCTTACAGGCTTCTGTACGTCAACTGCCCGCAGTGTCTTCTGGGATTTCTAATGGTTAGATTTTCTCAAGTCTGCATTTAATGCATCCTCAATATCAAGAACACATCCAGGTACTTTCATGTGTTCTCTGTACTTGCATTCTTGAAAATTGGAATTTAACTTTGATGGTTGTTGATGACTTAGTACGAAAACACAAGGACGCAAGATCTCTTAAGAACGCATATTGAGAAACAGGCCAAGTCTCTGAACAAGATCAAGCCCTAAATTGAATTTTTTTGTACAAATTGTTTTTTTTCTTAGTAGTGATGCAAAACATTATTACTATTCTCATACATCAGTAACCATTTTCTGCAAGTCTAGTTTCACATGTTTAAATAAAGATAATTATGTTTCCCCTCTAAGGCCTTGTAATTGTTGAATTTATTTCTCATATTTCAATTTTTTATTTTTTTATTTTTTATGCATACACATTCCTTTCTTTGACCTTGGTTATGCTGAATTCACACATTCTGACCTTAAATTGTGTTACAATAATTTAAAATTAATCTTAATTATCATGAAGAGTTAAAGATGCACTCAGTATTCATTGTTTGAAAAATGAGTAGTACTTTTTAAAAATTTGCTTACATCTCTTAAAAAAAAAGAGTTAATCTAGCAGACAAGTTGTGGTTCTATGAACAGTGGAATACTACACGCTTTGTCTTGTAATCCCTGTTATTACTGTTACAAAAATGTTTGCCTTATATTTTAATAAATAAGTTTTAAACCATGGCTTAAACCATTATACAACTGAAAACCGTTGCTACTGGTTGATGCTACATTCACAATGCAAGATGTCAAGTCTGGCTCGACTGTCATATAGTCCACACAACATCAAAATAAAAATGCTTATGTATGCTTCTATAACATGATATTATTATGTAATGTTATTTATACCATTTGAACTTTGACTATAAAAAATGTAAACTACTATTTTTTTAAATAGTGAAATTGTATATGGATTTAGCATTTGTTTTTATTAACTAAAAAAGAAGCCAAAGTATTTATGTGGTAATCAACAGCATGCTACAGATTCTGTTTTACACAACTAAATATTACTCCTGTTACATGTGGTCCTTCAATCTTGCTTTGTTGTCAAATCTCAGTTCAGCCAGTGGTGTGGGTTCAATTTAGGTTCATGTCTGCCACACATTAATCAGATGCGTTTGTTTTGAGGCATTCACATAAGAACAGAACACAGGTCTCAATCCATGTTTTTAAACTATGAAACTATGGCAGATGATATGTTGAAACTACCACAAAAATAAAAACGCTGGCATACTGTGTCTATACATGACACCAGCATTGCAATGCGCAATTAGACATGTTACATTTTAAGTTTTAATTTAAGTTATAGAAATAAGCTAATGGTCATGGGTAAATGACCCATTTCATCTGACACATCTGCTACCATGTTTACAAAGATGAAACACCCAGAAATTATTTAAAAGGCTGGACTGTCCTGAGGTGGCAAGCAATGAGTGCCACACTTTGAAATCTGAGGCTCCGTTTACACTTGGTATTAATATGGATTTTTGTCAATCTGATGAGAAGTGGTCAAATAAGACACATTACCTGGGCCTGGTTGCATGAAAACTCTTTGACGTAAGGAGAAACCTAAGGAGAAAACAAACGTTGAACAACACCTTGGTAACCGTAGCAATGTTCTAGCTTCTCATTTGTTTGGTACCTGCTATTTTTGACCAAAGAAATATAGGTGACCAAAGACTTGTGTTCTACAATTTGAGAGAGGTGTCATGTTTTATATTTGGAAGGCTTCGTCGCAGAGCACTCTATTTCAGTGTTGCCATGTCCACTTTGGTCAGCAGTTTGGTCAAATGCATTTTTGTCCACCTCCAAATGTAGTTGAAAGTGGACAATCTCAAAACATTTAACGCTGTCCACTTGTGATCAGGTTGACCAAAACCTTAATTCCAAGTGTAAACAGGACCTGAGAGACTTAAAGCAGTTTAGAGAACAACAGTGTCCATTGCTGACAATATTATTTTGTCCATTGAGTAGTCTGAGAGAGATTGGTGATAATAGACAAAACACAAGATATGACCATATGATACCATAGACATAGTTCAGCAGACAATACCAAGTTGTGTTTCTTCTATTGTAACAGTCATACTGCAAGTGAGAATATTTTATATGGTGCTGTGGTTCATGAGGAACTCCTGTATCATGTCATATTTCTTTTAAGACTCTTTAGAAAGTGCAGGAATTGGTGTACATGTTTTAGAATGGCTACAGTTTTGTAGGGCCAGCTCAGATAAGTAAGATTCAAGTAGAGCATCCTGAACCATCTGATCATTTCCACTGTAGTGCTGGTAATGTTGTTGCACCTGTATTGAAATTACTTCCTCTGTATCTTTGAAGTAATTGCAGTAGGTCTTATAAGACCTTCACCTATGTTCTTGCATGACTCATTGTTACTGTTGTTAATTAGCCCAGTCATGTCATTGGCCAACTTTACTGCTGTGAGTAGCTGTACAGGTGAACAAGTAGGCATATACTGTAAGTATAGTCCAGGAATAAAACAGTAAGCTAGAGAGGATATATTGAGGTCTGCTTGTTAGGAATTCCAGTATCCAAACTGTAGACAGAATTGCCTAAGCCCTGGTTCTAAAGTTTCTGGAGAACCTTCTTAGGAAAAAAAGAGCCCCTAATGTAAATTAACCAACCATCCAGATTTTGAAGACAAGTATACAGTATTAGTTCAAGAATTTCTGCAATTCTGCTGGTTGTATGCAATAGATGTAATCTTTCCATTTTGGGGTTATATCTATAGGGTGGAGACAGCTCTTCCATTTGCTGATGTTTGAAGTGGCCACCTCTGTTTATTTAAAATTAGAGGAAGAATCTATGAATATACTTTAATCTGTTATTTCAAAACAACCAACACTTGCATGGTTCTCACCATAAGTAGTAGACAGCATCTTTTTTGTAAACAGGTAGTGAGATTTGTTCCTTCGGTGTTGTATTACAGTTTTGTATAACAAACTAGTTTTTGGAGAACCTTTACCAGATCAACAACCTTTATAAAACTGTACTGACAACACCCAGAAAGTATTAACAACATTCTCCTCTATCCTCCTCCACATTCTCCTTTCATCACTGACTGGTTACATCTTTGTCAAATAGCACGCCTGGCCACAGAGAAACTGGTACATAGCCACAGACAAGTAAGCAATCTTGAGTGGTGACGTCAATGCACGCATTCTACCAGCACGGTTAGCCAACCATGCTGATAATTCTGGGCCAAGAACGGTTTGTAATCGTGCCCCGTCATGCAGTGCCATAACAGGCTCAAGTGAAAATACAACTAGAACCGTTCCTTACCGTTCTTAGAACCGTTCAGCCCAATGGTGGAAAAGAGTCTAATATCCCTAGAACATGCTTATTTTCCTCAAACCATCTCTCTTGCACTCTTATCTGTACTCACACACATCATAAACATGTCTACTTCCAGTGGAGTCTTCTCCGCTACTTTTAAGCAGGTTCAGGTATACCCACTGTACCCCCCACTCAAACCAATACATAACCCAGCAGTAGTACATTGCCATTTATGTTTTTGCTGGTGTATTTATCAAAAAGCACCTACAAGTGAATTTAAAAATCAAACCAATGATGACTGCTTCACAAGCACCATGCTTTTACTAGTTAAGCTGGAACTGATGAATGTTAAATAACACTTCTTTCTGATTTCTTCCCTGTCCAAAAACATTGAAAAGGCTGTCTTCAATTTTTTGTGTTCCTTTATCAGAACTGAAATGGAGACATTTCACTTTACCGCCATGCTCTTCTTTCCTGAATCCCTTTGACTGGCATGACTTTGAGATCATCTGTCCTCAATCTGCTTAACCTTTGACGTCATCAGATGTCCTATCAACCCTTTCAAAATTGTGCATCACTGGTACTGCTCTTTACTGCTTTGAGTCCTATCTTACAGGAAGAGTGTCTGAATCACACTCGCTAACCACTTGAGTTCCCTAGGGTACACTAGTGTCCCTTTCCTCTTCTATACATATAACACAGCTCTAGTGGTCTTTCCAGCCTGATAATCCTACGTTCTCATTCTGTCTTTCAGATTAATTGTTTTTGACATCATGGACTGAATTAAGGAATGTCCAGGTCAATCTTGCAAAGGCAGAACTCATTGACATCCCAGCCAGGCCATCAATTGAACACAACACCAAATAGTTAGACTCAACCACAAAGCAGCCATCTTTGGGTAGTATTTAACAACCATCCAAATAACTGCCCAGTTTATGCTCATTAACATAAAGAAAATTAGCCCACATCTGTCTGATTATGCTGTGTAGCTCTGGGTCCAGACTCTTGTCATCCTAAACCTGGAGAATTGGAATGCTTTACTATCTGGCCTTCCAACTGTCAAGCCTGGCAGATGATCCAAAATACATCGGAGCATCTCGTTCTCGTCTTCAGTCAGCCAGAATTTTGAAAAACCACACACCCCTCTTGACTCTTCCTATAGGCATCTACATACAATTCAAGGCTCTAATACTAGCATGCCAGACCAGTACTACGTTCTCCCATATCCCCTGCAGTCAGTCAAAGAACACATGATGGTGCCATTACAGTGTCACAGGGAACTTCCTAAAACCTTTACACTGTTCCTGTCTTTTGGTAGTGGAATGAACTCTCAACCTTAACTCTAACCATGCAATCCCTTACTTTCTTTAAGAAATGGCTAAAGTCACATTCTGTAGGAGCTTAAAAATGTATATGCACTTACACTGCATAAACATACTATTCTAGTACCCAATAAAAAAATTAGTTTGGTATGATATACTTCTGTTGTGTTGTCCCTTGGATCAATTGCTTCTACATATGTTATTCTCAAGTCGCTTTGGATAAATCATCCTCTAAATCAGGGGTGCCCAATTTAGCTTCTGGAGGGACATGCCTATACATTTCTACTAATCCTTAATACCGTGATTAGCTGGTTCAGGAGTGTTTAATTGGGGTTGGACTCTGTAGAACTCTGCAGGACTTGGCCTTCTTTGGCCGCAGGATTGGGCACCCCTGCTCTAAATGGAGAAATGTAAATGAAAATGCTTATTTGCAAAAGTCCATCTATTTTATGGGTAGATGAACATAAAGAATGTTTGAACAACTAATCTGTCAGAAGCTAGCAGAGCAACCAAAGATAAGTGAAGCGACTGTGACATCAAGTAACTTACCTGGATAATTAGGTTGTTTTGTGTCAACCTCAACTTCGATTTTATTTTAGAAAGAATGTTACAAAACCCCAAATACCCAGATAACTATATAATAACTATACTGTCAAGATTTACTTCACCTCCTCCATTATAGAATCAGGCAAAGGCCCGTGTTTTTTTCCTTTTCATTTAATAATATAAGGAAGCCATTTAAAGGCTCTCAAACAATATCACCTTTTAATGGTCATTTGTTTGTGTTGTGTAGAAATCTGTTTTTCTAAACTCATCTTCTCCAAGCATTAATGTAGTCAACACGTGTGCCAGTGTGCCCCTTTCTGAGTGAGAGCATATCATTGGATTTTTTTTAAAATAAACTTTCTTGTAGTCTTGTAGGCTACAAGTGTCCGTTTGCATATTGCCCCCTACCTCCCAGTTAGAGTCATTTCCTTGTACAACACCTTTTCTTAATAGTCTTATGTCAGGGACGGGCAATTCCAGTCCTGGAGGGCCATTGTCAGAGTTTAGCTCGATCCCCAGTCAAACATACCTGAAAATCAAGTCTAAAGGATTGCTTGAAATTTATAGGCAGGTGTGTTTGATTAGGATGGAGCTAAATTGTGCAGGACAGTGTCCCTCTAGGACTGGAGATGCCCATCCCTGTCTTATGTAAAAAATAAATCTGGGCAAGTTTCCACCCGATTCGGTTATATGTAGTGTATTTCAAATATTTCTTATTAAGTAAAGTAATTTTGTTTTTTAGGACCATTTTAGTGAGTGGCACAACAATGTGTTAAAGGTGAAGTATGTAGTTTCTGTGACACTAGTGGCACCTAGCAGAATTACAAAAATATAGCATATTTTGCAAATGGCCATTTTGTGTGTCATGCCTCCACCAATTCAAACATCACAAATACAGCTCTTATGGGTGCTTATGAAGGTATGTCTCAACAGGTTAAAGCAGGCTACTTTTAATAAAGGTCCAACATTTTAGGAATACTTTTAGCTGTGTTGCTGTGTCATGAGTAAGCAATTGAGAAGGCTAACCCTCTGCCAAGACCAAACCTGTGCATCTGGGGTTTATAATAAACCCATTCAACGTAAGTGCACCAGGCGTATTTTATGACATGACACATCTCAACTATTTGAAGCTGTCTACACTGGACATGTCAAAGTAAACATTATAAACTTGTACTTTGTTTTTCTGAAAGGGTGCATGATGATTCTGTATGGCAGAGGTCTTCATCCCTGCTCCTGGATACCCACTGTCCTTTACAGAGTTTAGTTCTAACCCTCACACACCTGAAGCAGCTAATCAAGCTCTTCGAGATTGCTTGAAAATACACAGGCAAGTGTGCTGAAGCAGATTGGAAATAAACTTTGCAGGACAGTGTGTCCCCAGGAGCAGAGTTGAAGAACTCTATATTGAAGCTTCATTGTAACATGTTTCATCGCAGTGCCCGATTCAGTTTGATGTGTTCATAACCTGTTTAACCTTTGAAGGTCTAAATGCAGTGAAATTTGGCTTGCACTTCTGCAGAATTTCTTTTCCCATGTAACGTGTCAGCCTTGCTCCCACACTGGCTCAGCCTTCTACAGTAACCTCACCCAAAACTCACAATATTGGTTGAGCTGGAAAGAGATTGACAGATCTGAGCAAACCCCTCTCAATGTTTAGATGGTACTTGGAGGGCTCAATGTTTAACAAACTGGGTTAAGGGAATGTATTTTAACATTAAAAGAAAATCTTACATACTTCACCCGGCTTTAAGGTATACTAGTAAAAGCGCTCCTAAGTCAGCAACCTCCCAAACTAAATGCAGGCTTATACCTAGTAATTCATATCAATAGGCCTTAATGACATTATAGACTCACCATGTTCCTTGTTGTTGTTTTTTTTTTTTTCTCAAGTTATGTTTTTGGCCTTTTATGCCTTTATTAGATAGGATAGTGTAGATGAGACAAGATGCAATGGAGAGGAGAGAGGGGAACAGGACAGGCAAAGGACCTCAAGTCGGTACTTGAACTTGGGTTGCCTGAAGCACAGCTGTGACATATGTCGGAGTGTGGCCCACAAAGCTATTGCTCTGACACTATGTTCCCTGTTTATAATATATGTAGCCATAATGTGCTGTTTCAACCAATTTACCATTTTTAATGGTTCCCTTTCACTATGAGTGACAGCTCTCTAGTATTGTATCTATGCTCCTTACAGAGGTACAACTCTGGGAAGAAGAGGGAGGGATTAATCCAAATAATTGAAATTGAGCTAAGAAATGGGTAGAGCTGGTGAAGCAGGAAGGAGTATAGAGGGAAATTGAAAATATTAAGGGCTGTTTCACTCCCTGAGCAAAGTTGAGCCTTTCTCTGGGTGGTGCATTTATGCATCTTTGCCTGGAAATCCCTTGGGGTTAAAAAAGCCAGCATTTGCATTAGTTGTCCCTACAACCTGCTCAAAGGAAATGAGTGAATGGAGGCTCTCAGTGATAGAACTTTTTTTTTCCAGACTCACAATGTTAATCTGATTTATCAATGTGAAAGCCAGAGGAACCACATTAGTTGTTTAGTTCATTAGTTGTTTGTTACAATTACCTTTTCCAATCTACAAGATAACAGTCCACATTGCTTATTAAACTTTTACAGTAGGTTATCAGGTGCAAAGGTGTGGTGGGCTCCAAAATCGGTTTTGTGACATATTTGTCACAATAGTAATAATGAAATATCTTACCGCACTAAGATAGGTGGCTTGGATTGCTGGAACGCTGGGTAAACTGCTGTATCAAGTTCTTTGACAAGAAACTGTAAGGTACTGCACCCTGCAACAATCAAAGGCATCATGTAGGATGGTCGACGGAATATATCTAACAAGCACCTCCCACAACATCGGCAGCCATTTTAAGGTACGTTTCTAAGATACCATGCGCAAAAAATGCTTCCACACATTGGACATTGAAATGGAGGCCCCGTAGAACTGGAGGCGTGTCTTCCTCTCCTTTAGCCGTCTTCTCATAGGTTCAAGTGGTCGAGTGTCACGAAATATCCCGGGGTCGGATGAGCCACATTGTTTGGTGATTGTGCATCGAATTGTACTAACATCAAACCCGTAATGATTTTAAAAAAATAATGAATAGTGTTCCAATGAGCTTTAACTTGGATTGAAAGTTTGGGAATATCTTATGTGCGCATTGCGCAACGGGAAGGTGCATCTTACAAAGGAAAAGGACAGCAGCAGGAAGCCGAGCACGACGGTAAGTACGAGCCGTTCTGAAGGGGAAAAGCTCATGGTGGGGAGAAGCTTATACTGCTTTGGAACGTTATTAAACGGTACAATATAATACTAAGAGTGTATACTGCACTAGATAAGATTTACATCGCAAATGTAGACGTTGATTTTCGTAGTCTCTGGGATCGCCAGTTCTTGTTTGTGTGCTCGTACTCCAGGTTCCAAGCATGCAGCCCATTTTGTTTTGTGACGTTGGACTTCCATGTTGCTAGCCAGCCAGCTTAGCTTCGTGCATTTCTCTTTCAGGTTGCTCCGTTAGCATTATATAAACAACCAAATAACAAATAAAATACAACAATTAACGTTTTAATTCAGTATACATCCGTACATTTACATTGTTACTGTACTTGACACACATCTGATCATTTATTGACTGTTGCTAATGTCACTACAACTAAAAATCTGCATCACTGTAAAACAGCCACCGGTTTGTCACTGTACACCGTCTGGAGGGACTCATACTCCATCGTTTAGAGGCTAAATGTTTCCATGGTGAACCTATTATATAGATGTTTTGTTTTAATAATATATTTAGTTTGTGTAGTTTAAATAATTTGAAATGGTTTAAGATGTTCGTGATAGTAATTACTGTTTTATACTTGTTTTATGTGTAAACAAGTGTAACGTTAAATGCATTTTGTTTAGAAGTCTTTCCCCTGTAGACATAAATGTTTGATAATGATGTCAGCCTTTTTTTATTTTACAGTGTATGTTTAAGGACAAAACGGTGATTGGAATTTGCTTTTGGAATGTGTACTGGCATATTAGGGTAAGTTGACTTTACTAATTTTGCAGACTGTTTTTAATTCTTCACACTTTATTATTGCTCATAGAATATATGGGTGTTTAGTTGTTTTGTACAGATAAAGATGTATGATATCTCCTGGTGGAATTGAGAGGAGTTATTGCATCTTGTCAATGAACCTTCCTCGTGTATAGGCCTATTTAGTTTACAATATAATAGCAACATGACATGCAAATGATTTGTGTACTGTCAAAGCAGTGACTTTTTTTTTACTTTACGGCACACATTCATATAGCACACAAGTTAGTGTGTTATAATAGATAGTATTAGTAAGTAACTTCAATTCAATTCAAATTTTGAAACTTGTGGCATACTTGCTGTATGCACATCTGTTATCCAACCTGAGCATAACATTTGTGACTTGAATGCAGGCATTTGTGTATGAGCCCAAGACGACATTGATTATGATCGAATAGTATATTAATACTAAACTTTGTTTGTCATGTCAACAGCATTGGTTAGCTGATTGATCATCTTACTTGATGGCAAAATTACACTGTTTTTCTCACATTTAGCTTACACATTTAGTAGTGACTTTACAGGTCATTCATATAATTTGTCATTAAATGTACAGTAGTAGCAAGAATACTAATCCAGTTTTAAACATGGGTGCAGTTTCAGAACCAAATGTGACTGAAGAGTTGAGTCAAGTATTAGGATTATTTGTTAAAAATCCTATAAGTGGATGATAGAAGATGGATATGTGATAAGGAAAAAAATTATTATTAAAAAAAGCTAACATTTAATGGTCTTTCCATCGCTGCAATTTTAAAAGTGCACACAGGTTGTTGTTTTTTTGCCTTTACATGAAAAGTATTCATATCAGTAGCATAATAAAAGCTGATTTATTTTACAATGAGTGGGTCATCTCATGGGGGCTGCCATGTTGACGACCAGTCATGTACTAGTAGGGGTGTAAATATTAATCGATTCGTATCGATCCATCGATTATACAGCCGACGATTCGATGCGTCCGCAAGAGTATCGATTAATGGGTCTCATTCATGAAACATTCGTAAATATACGAGTAAATATGCGAGTGATTTGCGCGTAAAGAGACCTTCCCGAAAACTCTTCTCCTGATTCACAAATACTTCGTAAACGTCAGATGTGATAGTGAAATGTGTGTGTGTGTGTTAATGAATTCCATTTAGTCGTAAATGGGATGCGCGTGCACGTTCATTCTCAATTACCATAAATCCCGCCCATTAAATCCGACTGACAACTATATATGGGCATCATGACATGAATGCGAATGAAAAAAAAAAATTCTGATAATAAATCTTCAATTTCTGCATCTGAGAAGTTCATTCAAAACGCCACATTTTATTTTCAAGCGTACATAGTGGCGTATCGGGTCCTAAAAAAAGAAGCTTGGCAGCATATTACAAATGCAGTTAATGGAGTTTCATCTGTTAATCGAACATTCCCAGAAGTGAGAAGAAAATGGTTCGACATTAAGCTTGAGAGCAAAAAAACGAATTAGTTCACTTTGGAAAAATAGTATTCAAACTGGAGAAGGACCACCATCGCAGATGCTATGACTGGCTCTCATAATAAGAAAAACCGTATGTAATTACTATATATAATATTTTTTCAAAATGCTGTGCAAATATGTACCCGATTAAGGTGAATTAAAATGCAGCCTTATTAATGAGCAAAACGTTCGGGTGTTAAGCGCACTATTTACGCGTGGCTGGGAGCAGGTGTAGATTTCTTGTGTACCAACTAACATTTGGAAAATACGAACATTTTAATGAATCCGAAAATTTACGCCAGAACCACTTTACACACGATTTACACAAATTCGTTCTGCTCGTGTTTCATGAATGAGACCCAATGTGTTTATTTTGCCACCTGTCTATTTTCAGCATCAGCTCCGACATATGCAAACAACCTATTCCTAAGCTGCAGGTGGCGCTAACCTCATTATTGTCTTCTACTTCACACGCTTCACACACGTTACTTACGTTTCACAGTCTATCTATGTTCACACACATTGTTGAGTCTGACTTTCAAAGAGCGATGGAACCGTCAGAGCGAGCTGGCAATGAAAGTGAAATGTTACACACTCCAGTCGGTGTCAAGTCATGGGTGTGGAAGTATTTTGGCTTCAGGAAAACAGATGGAGCAGTGGTAAGAGACATTGCCGTTTGCAAAGAAGACTCTGCTATAGTGTAACACACATTATGTGAATAGAATACTATGGCGAGCAGGACGCAGCCGATGTGAGAGAACGGCGCGAGGCCGGTGGTGTGACAACACCGGCCTCGCGCCATTCTCACCACAATTCATTCTCTCGCCACAAATGCTGTTTCTGTATTCTCAATAAAAGGCTATTTTTTATTATTTTTTTATTTGAAACTTAATAGTTATCATGTAAAAATATCTAGTATTGAATCGAATCGTATCGCGGGAAATTCTGAAGTATTGAAAATAATCGAATCGTTGGCTTAAGAAATCGGTATCGTATTGAATCGTCATTAAGGCTCCGATTTACACCCCTATGTATTAGCCTACTTGCTTTATCTTTGTAATTCCCCTATTATTAGGACACTATTACAATGCAAATGTCATGGGCTTGATTCCCAGAGAATGCACAACTGATAAAGTCTATACTTTGAATGCAATGCAAGTTGCTTCGGAAAGCAAACGCATTGATGTTAAATAGATTTTGACTTTGAAAGGTGTATTTAAACAGTGGCATCAGTAATGGAAAATTATTTCCTTTTCGTGATGCTGCATCCACAGCACTAACTATGTGTAGCCTATAAGACCAAGATGGCACCATATTGCCCAGTTCAAACATAATAAAATTACAGAGTGCACTTTAAGACGACATTACATAAGTTCCGATAGTCGAAATTGTAAAACAGTTGATATGTTTATACTGCGTTTTCGACATGCTGTCTGACGAACTTGGCATGTGCTTCACACTGAAAATATTGCATCTGTGAGTATTGTAACTGAAAATGCGCAAACAGTATGTGAAACGGGCCATCATTTATGCCAAACTGGTGGGTGCAACCATCCCACCTCCATCAGTATCACTCAAAGGGATAATTCACCCAAAAGGAAAATTCTATCATTACCCTCATGTCCAAACACGTAAGAACTTCGTTCATCTTCGGAGCACAAATTAAGCTATTTTTGATGAAATCTGAAGGATTTCTGTCCCTCCATTGACCGCTATGGAACTACTATTTTGACGCTTCAAAAAGTTTATAAAGGTAAAACTAATCCATATGAATTGAGTGGTTTAGTCAAAATTTTCCTGAAGAGACTTTATTGCTTTATAGCAGGGGTGCCCAACCCTGCTCCTGCCGATCGACTGTCCTACACAGTTCATCTCCAACCCTAATCAAACACACCTGCCTTTAATTTTCAAGTGATCCTGAAGACCTTAATTGGTTACTTCAGGTGTGTTTGATTAGGGTTGGAGATAAACTGTGCAGGACAGTCGATCGGCAGGAGCAGGGTTGGGACTCTCAATGGAACCTGCAAAAACAAACCTCTTGCGGAATACTTTAATTGGGCCAAATGTTTATGCCAAATTTCTGATCACCCAGTAAACATTGTTCCTCCCTAGAGCATTTATTTATGGATACCTGCTTTGTGCACAGCGGTATCATATACTGCAGGGTTGCCCTATCCTGTTCCTGGAGATCTACCTTCCTGCTAAGTTCAGCTCCAACCCTGATCCAACACAATGGAACAAGCTCATTAAGATTTTCAGGAGCACTTGATAATTACAGATGTGTTGGATCAGGGTTGGATCTGAACTTTGTAGGAAGGTAGATCTCCAGGAACAGGGTTGGGCAACCCTGCTATACTGTGTCTACAATGTCATTGTATGCAGCAGTATTAAGATTTATCCTCAGAGAATTTACTGGAATATCCAAACCTATTAAAAGGGAGTTGTCCATTTACCTTTGACCATATGGTGTATCTGGAGCTTTTCTTTATTTATTTTTTTGTACTTTTTTGCAAAACAGGTTATGTGGCACCTCTGTTGTCTAAGGTTCAGAGCATGGGCCATTGCACTGAAAATTGCATTTTCAACCATAAACGACAGTCTCATTTAATGTTCTCTTAAAAGGACAGTTGCTTACTAGATTTTACTGATAATATCCATTACATAATCTTGCAGTTAGGTTAATTTGTTTACCCAGTCCTGTTAAAACGTTTGTGTATAGAATGTCAGGTAGTCATCTGCTATGGAGCCTGCGTCAAGTCCAGCATGGCAAAAGTGTGCATCAAGGGCACATAGGCCTATCAGTCCCAATTTGTTGAGCATCCTTCTCAAACCTAGAAATGTCAAATGGGGCACCCTATGGACTTGTGCACACACTTTCTGCAGTCATCCTTCGCAGGTCCACAAAACCGCAAGTGCACAATCTGCGCCATTTGGGACAGGTCCCAGGTGTGCATACAAATTTGCAAATTAATTTCTTGTTTTACACAGAACTTGCTTAAAGGCAAATGCAGTATTCTGTATTCTTGGACTTGTCAGTCAATGATCTTGGTTCGTGATCTTGGATTTCATGCATCCACTCCAATAGATTCCAGTATGTTTACTAACTGCTGCCGCTTTACACCCGTGCTGTGTATTTGTTGATTTTTATTCCTTTTATCAGTTTCATACTACAAACATTCATAATGGACATTCTTGGATTAAATCTCCCTGTTATTTTGTGTATTGTTAGTGGTTCGTGTTATGAGGCTGGCTGCTTCATTACGTGGCAGCTGTGACCAATGCATGTTCACACTCGCCGCCTGATGCTGCTGAGTCTAACCTTGATCTGTGTATAGGAGCAGCGAATCATTGTGGTTGATTTCATCCAACAGGAACAGCGTCAGCTCATACTCATTTTGTTTGGACCGATGGATTGCATGTGCTTAACTCATGCTCCATAGTTATATTGTGTCTGTAGGTAAATTTTTTGTTGTATTGTTAGATTGTTTATGCATTGTACAGTCTTGAGCACTGGTCGGAAAACAATTAATATTATTGTTTACGAAGTATTTATTAGTAACTCCGTCAAATGTATGATATCTTATGGCTGATCATGTTATGCCAACATGGCCACATTCTTGGGGGGGTGACCTGCTCCATATAGAATAAAACGATTTTTTTCTTGATGACTAATGTCTAGATCAGGGGTCTTCAACTCCAGTTCTGGAGAGCTGGTGTCCCCCGGTCTTTAGTTCGAAGCCTAATTAAACACCTCTGTCTGTAATTTGCAAGTAATTCTGAACACTGTGATTAAGCTTGTTTTGGGCTGTTTGGTTAGGGTTTGAACTCAAGTCCTGGAGGGCCATTGTTCTGGAGTTTGAGTTGAAAAGCTCTGGTCTAGGCCAGTGCTTTTCAAATCTGTCCCGGAGACTCTCTACCCATGCAGATTTTGGATGTCTCTGGTTTTGGGCGCACCAATTTCGGGTTCTGCAGTCTCTACTAATGAGCTAATGAGTTAATTCAGGTTTGTTAGATGGAGACCACTAAAATGTGCAGGGTTGGGCAGGTTTGATAAACCTCCAGGACAGGTTCGGTCTGGCGTCCTGCTCCATAGAGGGCAACCATCTTGCTGAGTTTAGCTCCAGCCCTAATTATGCACATCTGTAACAGGTTGATCAAAGGTGTTCAGGATGCATGATTTCTTTTTCTTTTTTCCCCCTAAACCAGTTAAGCACAAACCTCACCCTGCAGCCAATTGTATTGGTCAACTCAATCACAGTGTTGGAGCAGGGTTGAAAATGAAGTCTGCAGGAGGGTATCCCTTCAGGAGCGGGGTTGGCTACCCTTGGTCTAGACATGTCATCTCATGTGAGTCAACATTATTGCTTTATGTATAAATATTTTAATTAGAAAAAAACCTTGAGCAAATCAATATTAGTGTCTGCTGCTTGGTGTAAATTATTTTAATCATTGCCTAAAAATAGCTTTTAGAATTTCGCATTTTTTCATCAAACGTACAATTAATGCTTTGTGTTCCATGTAATTGAGGTACTTATGCTTTCATGGCATCTGTGATGTGTTATTGGAACTGTACTGGACAACTAACCATGCATCTCATCACAGTGGGATAACCAATCTGTACTGCATATGTTGCCTTTTCTTTTTGTTTCCATTTGGGGTTCCGTTGATAAGCTGTGTGTCATCCGAAGGGTTTGGAACCAGTTTTTGTCTTTGACTCGAACTGCTCCCATCAGTTTGTGGTCTGTGTATGACCCAAATGCTACACCATACATTCAGTTATAAGATATAAGTTATTCCGATATTAACTTTTGAATTAAATGTGCACAGTTTTCATTATATTTTCATTCATTTTCTCTTTAGCTTTTGAAAGCGCGATCATGTGTACTCTGTGTATAGGCCTATAATTCGTGGCAAACAGGGGGCCGCTTTCAATATGCAGGTTATTGAAATCGATTTTGAATGTGTGCTTTTCAAATTTGTGATCATGCATAACCGGTGTATAAGGAGTGGTGGGACTGACCACCCATTTCACAAGATAAGGTTTTTGTCAATTATGCTCAGGATCTTTTGCATACTAAATTGGGACACTATACTGTCAAAGAGCACCGTCCTTCGGATGAGACGTTAAACCGAGGTCCTGACTCTCTGTGGTCACAAATCCCAGTGGCCTCTGTCCATCATGGCCTCCTAATCATCCCCATACTGATTGGCTTCATCACTCTGTCTCCTCTCCACCAATAAGCTGGTGTGTGGTGGGCGTTCTGGCGCCCTATGGCTGCCGTCGTATCATCCAAGTGGATCCTGCACATTGGTGGTGGTTGAGGAGATTCCCCCTTCTATGTAAAGCACTTGGAGTGCAGAGAAAAGCTCTATATAAATGTAATGAAGAATTATTATTATTATTATTATTATTAAATCATCTACCATTGATTTATCTGCCATATAGGCTACTGTCCTCTCGTGATAAGTGAAATCTGACTCCTGATGCACTGAGACTACTTTAGAACAAATCTTAGCAACAAGGCACATGTTTCTATATCTGTGTGCCTGACTTTGTTTGGATATTTTTTATGTTTATTAAATAAGATTGTCCACTCTGATGATACTTTCTGGAGTTATGTTGCTATATTTGGTTTTTGTTTTACTATATTTTAATTTTCTCTGGTGATATTCTTGGCAATAATTACAAAAATATAATGGCTTGACATTTAGTTATTCATTCTTATAGTACTTGGCTGGGTTTCCTGAAAGCATTGTGAGCTAAGTTGATCGTAGACACCATTGGTGGCAATGGTTTTACGATCTACTTGGGATTTTGATGCTTTTGAGAAATGCAGCCCTGGCTGGTTTACAATAGTTTACTCTATGAACAGGACAGTTTGAGTCACACCTGTCAGTTAACATGTTTGTCTATCTCAGAGACTAATGTGAATGTAGTCTATTTTTAAATTGTATTAACATCAGTAGATTTTTTACAGTTTGTATAAGTAACAATAGGTGTAAGATTGATATGGTGTCTACAAAACTTTGTGCTATTCCTGGATGTAGAGAAGCAGAGTTGCACCTGCAGCTCTCAATGGTCTTCCAAAGGACTGGCTGAAGTTTCTTTTTTTTATCAAGGTACCTGGTTTTAGCACTAAAATGGCAATTATTTTTTATAGTTTCTCCTAAATCTGCAAGTTAGGAGCTACTTTTAGCCTTAAGATGTTTTGTGAAGTCAGACTCAGGCCTATCAAAAACCACCACACATCACTCAACTAACTTCTCACAATCTGCAGTAGTTAGCCTGACTTCTACCAGCCACAATCTAAAAAATAAAAACCTATTCAAAACTGCCCAACTTACCAAAACACATAACTTTTAAACTCAAAGTATAGACTGTTAACTGCATTGGACAAGACCTTAGCAAAGGCAAACCATCTTGAAGTTACAATGAGGCTAAAAAACAAATATGGGACTAGGCATCTAATGCAGGGATAGGCAACTCTGCTCCTGTTGGGACACTTTTTTCACAGATTTTAGATCCAACCCCAATTTTACACATCTACCTGTAATTCTGAAGACTGTGTTTAGGTGTGTTTTAATAGAGCTGGTAAAATCAGCAAAAAATAGTCATTAACTGGAGGCTGGGGCAGTTGTTTACACTAGTTCACACTTACTAATAAATAGAGTAAAAGAGTAAAAACAAGCATATTTGCCGTGCTGTCCAAGGGGAGGGCACTTTAATTAACTTTAGTGCTAAGATAAAATGTTTTGTGAGTACGGCCCCAGGTGTTCTCCATTTTGGCCCTCAAGGTCCACTTTCCTGCAGAGTTTAGCTCAACCTGATCAAACTCTCCTTCCTGTAGCTTTCTAGTAATCTTGAAGACATTAGCCGTTTCTCAATATGCATTTTTGTCTGTACTTGTGTTCTTGTGGACTTGTGAAACCTCATCAGTCGCTGCCCAAGTTCCAATTCAAAGTTCACATTCTAGCCAAGTCCAGTTCAAATCCCCGGGTGTGTTCTTGACCCGCCCCTTTTATCGAGGATGCAATGAAAGGTGAATTGTGCGGACTTGAGACAGCCAGGTATCCCAGAATGCATCTCGCACCAACCACCAAGCGTCAATAGCAGAGGAGAAAACCTGCGTAATTTAAAAATACTACTGTTATTGTGTCACGAAATGTAGTTTTAAGAGTTTTTCAGGCAAGAATGTACTTGTTTAAAGCTCAAATCTGTGGTTTATTTATAAAGATAGCGCCTATTTGAAAATGTGATCTGACGTTTTCGGAGTTGTGAGATCCAGGCGATCACCGGGCGCTCCGCGCTCATGTACCCCGCCTGGAACAAACTTACCTCGGCTAGTCCTTCTGACGTTTGCTGCTGGCTCTGATGTCTCTAGTCTAGTGGTTAAACATGAGATATAATTCGTTCTTGTGTGTATCTAACGGGCGATCTTTGGTCTCTATAATTTGTTCTCTGGCTAATCGTTTTGGCTGAGGGCAAAGTGAAGTTACATAACTTTATATGTTTAGGCTATTTAACTCTAACGTTGTAGCCTAATAGCCTAATCGTTTGCTTTATTTCTTCTTGCATAGCTTCTTATACCCTTTAGGCTACTTATACTTTTGTAATAGCTATTATTGATAATTAAAACTGACATTTAACAAAAAGAGCCTGGGTTGTCATTTTATTTTATATATATATATATATATATCTCATTTTTATATATACACTGTACAAAATTATAAACTTTTGTTTTTGCCCCCATTTTTCATGAGCTGAACTCAGAAAAAGTCTTAGTTCTTTATGTACACAAAAGGCCTATTTCTCTCAAATATTGTTTACAAATCTGTCTAAATCTGTGTTAGTGAGCACTTCTCCTTTGCGAGATAATCCATCCACCTCACAGGTGTGGCATATCAAGATGCTGATTTGACAGCTTGATTATTGTACAGGTGTGCCTTAGGCTGGCCACAATAAAATGTGCAGTTTTATCACACATCACAATGCCACAGCAAGTTTTGGGGGAGCGTGAAATTGGCATGCTGACTGCAGGAATGTCCACCAGAGCTGTTGCCCGTGAATTGAATGTTCATTTATCTACCATAAGCAGTCTCCAAAGGCGTTTTAGAGAATTTGGTAGTACATCCAACCGGCCTCACCACCGCAGACCACGTGTAACCACACCAGCCCAGGACCTCCACATATGTTATGGACAACGAACACGGGTGCATTTTAATGATGGCATTCTGAATGCACAGAGATACCGTGCCGATATCCTGAGGCCCATTGTTGTGCCATTCATCCACGACCATCACCTCATGTTGCAGCATGACAATGCACTGCCCCATGTTGCAAGGATCTGTACATAATTCCTGGAAGCTGAAAACATCCCAGTTCTTGCATGGCCAGCATACTCACAGGACATGTCACCCATTGAGCATGTTTGGGATGCTCTGGATCGGCGTATACGATGGCGTGTTCCACGTCCTGCCAATATCCAGAAACTTCGCAAAGCCATTGAAGAGGAGTGGACCAACATTCCACAGGCCACAATCAACAACCTGATCGACTCTATGCGAAGGAGATGTGTTGCACTGCGTGAAGCAAATGGTCACACCAGATACTGACTGGTTTTTGGTTATATTTTGTGTTGTTATATGCAGTGAAGTTAATCAATGTACTCGTTGGCCGAACCACATTTGTGTGGGTTTATGTTTAAGATTTTTTTTTATGAAAATTAAAAGAGACAGTTATTTTATAACACATTTCGTTTTATTGTTGCCTAAAATATACATAAAGAGTAGGGATGCACGATGATATCGGGACAACATCGGTATCGGCCGATAAAAGCTTAAAATGACCATCATCGGCATCGGCCGATATGAGTATTTCTGCCGATGAGTCTTGCCGATAGGGTGGCGTGTTTCCTATGCGCACGTGACGACCGTGAACGAAGCATGAGCGCCAGCAACTTAAACTTCCAACTAGGGGTGTGCCGTGCGTCTCACGGTTTTTGATCGTGGACGACTAAAATGTCTCCACTATCTGCTTTTGAAGAAAAATCATATCGTGCATTCTATCAGTTCAATTCTGGCGCCTTCATCTCAACATACTGTACAACGCGACGTACATTCACATCACATCACATGTAAACGCAGAGGTAGAGTTACACTCACGGGACACCGCAATTCACAAAAGTTCATTGTTTGCATGTGCGTCAAAGTCTTGCTAGGTAAACATGTCATTCACGTGCTGATGCGCTATTCTAACATCCGCTTTTCTGAGCGCGTACACCCGACGCTCACAGGAACTAAAAGCCGTCACAGCGCCTGCATACTGGACTAATCTTTCGAGTCTTATT